TTATATCATTCCACTGAATCAGCTTTGTAATGCCCGAGTAGAAGCTGTCTTGGTTCGTCACCGCAGGTCCTTGATTGGAGGTGACTGTCAAGGACTCGCCCAAAGCCATATGGAAAGGCAGTGGTGGAGCAGGGTCTTACAGCCACAGCTTGTAAGCTCCAAGCCAGAACTGAAAGTGCTGGATCATGTCTTCTGATGGCAAAGATGATAACAGAATATTTAAATGTTTCTCTGATGGCCTTTGTATTGAAGGATCTCGATGGCAGAGGTGTAACGTTCAATATAATCCCATAAAAATTTCCAACTATTTTACAGTTTGTATTTATTATAGGTATTGGCTGAATTCTCTGTGTGGAATTGGGACAGTTATGTATGAGATAGCTGAATACTGACTTTCATTCGTTTAGGACAGTGATGTACATTTGCCTGTCTCAGGTAAAGGCACAAAAATATGAATGAAAACTACTGTTTTCATCCTTCTCATCTTTGAAGGTACTTACATGTGCTTCCATGTTTTGCCTGATCAAGCTTCCGCTAGTTGCATATTCCATAAAACATTGTCAGTCCGTGTAACAAGCATCTAGACTGCAGCAGTCTGGTAAGGGGAATCCTGCCTACCCGTTCATTTTTGACATGCATAGCTGAAATTACATTCCTTAAATCCCTAAATCTGGACCTAGAAAACAAAGATGCTTCCAGGAGAGAAAAGCTTGTGGGTTTCTGCTGCTTTTCTTCCTTTCACGTTTTTCACCAGTGCCGCAGTCCTCTCAGCTGTTTTCGTGTGATCCCTTAAGGTTTTTGGACTCTACAGCAATGGAGCGAGAAACTTTCCTGGTACATGGTGCCATACTTCAGAGCTGTTGAAGCAGTTGTAGTTTGTTTTCTGTGTTTTTCTCTTTTCAGACTCCCTGTAGTTCTAGAATAAATCCTTGAGAACATGCAAAGAAATGACAGTTAGTGCTGTTTGAAATAAACTTACATCATCTTTTTAATTGCAGGTTCCACTGCAGCTTATAGAAAGCGTTGAGTGCCGTGACATATTTCAGCTTCATTTGACTTGCAAAGACTGCAAGGTTATAAGGTATGATCAGGCTGAATGTTGGATGGGGGGTAACTTTGCTTTCCACGTGCTGTGGGCAGCTGTGACGTTCTAAGGAAATGTTTTTTCTTCGTGTTTAGTGGACTTGCTTTCCCCAAAAAGATTTTCTTGTGTCTGATTTTGTATCAGATAGCTGAGCATTTCTGTAAAGAGGGCGGGAGCAAGATGGTCTGTGTTTTTGCTTGCTATGATACAGTATAGCCTGAGTGGTTAATCTGATTTTATTCTGAAATTAATTTGAGTCTCACTGTGTTTTCCCTGCCTTACAATCAGTTATAGTGTGTTTCTTTAGTTATGAGAGAAAACTAGATAAAACCACTGAAACACACATTTCTTCGCAAAAAGTCTTTAATCAAGGTTTGGGGTTTGGAGGGTTAAGGTGTGGGCTTGTGCAGTTCTTCGTGAAACCTTGGGTCTGGATACCCTTGGCCACCCTGAGTATTTACCAGCCAGGAGGGTGCAGTTACTACCCTTAGGATGTAGTAGCCTGTTGGAGAAGAAGGGGAGGGAGCAGGGTCAGGCGAGGTGTGCAGCCCCTCTAACCCCGCAGAGAGGGTGGCGTCGTGTCGAAGGGAACGTTAATTTGTGTCCGTCCTTCAGCAGTCTCCAGTCTGCCCCAGGAGTCTGAGCTGCAGCTATTTCCTACCTTTTCTGCTGCAGAAATTAATTTTGATCTATCAGCTTTAATTAACAAGAAAGGAACGTTTCTTTTTGATTAAATGGTTGCTGGCAGTACCTTTTGTATAATGACATGAGCCCCAGCCATAGCTGAGCACTCAAAATGTTTAACAGGCCAACTGCTTCCTGAAATGCTGTGTTTTGATGAGGACTGATTTTACTTTAGAAGTAATATTTAGTTTAATTTGAATTAAATATTTAACTTCCTCTTAACTTGTAGCTCTTGACATTTAAAAAAGTCACCCTTCCTCTCTATGTTAATTTGTTATTTCTCTTCAGCTGTAGAAGGAATACAAATTATTTGTATTTATGCCCTTCCTTATGAATTTCCCTTCAAAATTGCATCTGCAAGAATCAGATGATCCTGTCCATTGGAACGTCATGAAATATGGGACTGAGATACCAGATTTAGAACATATTTGTGTTATTTTTCATGAATGAAGCAATTTGTGTTCTGAATAAAAGGGCTTAAGTGAAGACAGTACTTGTCACTTGCAGTACTAACTTCGAAAGAATTTAGAAAGAAAAGGGGTCTTTAGGGTAAGACGTATCTCGTCTGGCCGTAGACATTTAATAGAGAGTTACCAACTCGAAGCTGGTCGTCTCAGCTCGCTTTGGAGTCAGCGATGAGAAATAAACACCTCCAGGCTGCGGTTCCTCGCGGCTGATTTAGACACATTTCATAAGACAGCATGAGTTGGACAAGTCTTTTTCCTTCCACTGACTGACTTTTGGATATTTGCAGGTAGGATAATAAATCCTGCCCTCAGAGAGTGCAGATGCCGTCATTATCCATGAATGCAGTAGAACACAGGCTGAGCGGAACGTAAATACTTGGTGAATGTTTTATAACTCTCAAATCTTGAAGAAATCTGGCAGAGCAAAATAAATCACTGATGTTATTACCACTCTTTCATTCTAAAGGGCCCAGGAATCCTCCTTGAAAAGACAAGCTAATGTAATTTGAATACACTGCTTTGAATATTTTCTCTTGTGCGGGGAATAATCTCACTAGTTGTTGTTAGTCTGTAATGTCAAGCAAAGCTCAGTTTCAAAATCATCGTTTGTGCTTACCAAGGCCAGGAAAGAGAATCTTAGTGTAGGAATAATGTAAGATTTCAGATACGGGAGTTTGTCCTCATAATTCTTAAATTCTAAGTATATTAATCAGGTGGGTATTTCTCCATCTAATGTATGATATAATTTTCCTTAGACATATCTAATGAAAAATGTGTTCTTGCTTACAGGAATGTCATGCCTAGATTATAATGTATATGATGGTTTTATGGGGCTCCACCTGAGACCACCAGTCACACTCTGGTCGTGTAAGCTGCAGGCTGAGCTCCGTGCTGTTGTCCTTGGTCATGTAGTAAACATGTGGAGAAGCGTCTCCCTCGTTCGTGACTCAAATCACGGGATGGTGCTTTCCTGCTTGCGGATTATTTTGGCTTCCTAAGTCCTAATATGCTTTACTAATATCCAAAGGTTTCATTTTTACTCTTCATTAGGATGTACATAGAAGCAGAACTAAGTTGTTGATGTTTGTTCTCACTTTTTACTTTCACAGATGTTTTCGTAGTCAGCCTGTCAGATCTTAGTCTGACACCTTCTACTGAAAATTAATAGAAAAACGTTTGTTTCTGGGACAGGTGTCAGTTTTCCACTTTTGAGCAGTGTCAAGATTGGCTTAAGCGACTGAACAATGCCATCCGCCCTCCCTCGAAGATAGAAGACCTGTTCTCCTTTGCCTACCACGCCTGGTGCATGGAGGTGTATGCCAGTGAAAAGGAACAGCACGGGGACTTGTGTCGGCCTGGTACGTGGGAGTGCGGCGCGGATCATCACAGATGCCTCATCTAGTAACTACCTGTCTGCTGAAATCCAGAACTCTCAAAAAAATTACAAACAAATTCAGGCTGTGCTGTTGTAAACTGAGCCTGGGAAATTCCAGTATGGAATACTTTTTGTACATAAGTTCCTGCACTACTCGCTAGCTGGTGAATATCCTGTATGTGGTAATTATATAGGTGTAGCATAACTTCACTTGCAGCAAGGTGTCCTTTAATGTCTCGTAAGTTCCGTTCTGTCGGAACGAAGCAGAGATAAGCTCCCACCGCGGCTGCTTTGGGATCAATATGCAAAGCAGTACTTGAATATCCTGAGCAAATTATTGGGGTCGATTGGATTTAGTCAGTCGTGTTTAATACTAATAACGTTTTGTTCACCACAGCAGCAACTTTCAGTCTAAAACATTTTCTATTGATGGTGCCCCCACTTTTTGGAATTGCCTAGTGGTCTTCAGCATGGATGTTGAGGAGCAGGAGGTGGAGGAGAGGGAAATCTGAGGTTCATTCACAACGGCAAGACAGCAACCTGTTTTAGTGAAATATCATCCTTGCTGGAAAGTTTTAGAAGCCCTTAAGTAACTAGAATCTGAAGATTGGGATGCTGGTGGTTACAGCACTTGTTGGAATAGAAGGAAATCTGAGTTCCAGGCCCTCTCCAGTCTGAGGCTCTTTGCTCACAGCTCACATACCTGAGAAAAGTCTCCCAGTGATCAGGCTGAGGAATTTTAGTGTGATTCCTCCTCACTGAACTGAAGCTGCTCTGGGGCTGAGCAAGGACTATCATCGCCTTGGCGCCCGAGGAGGAGCAGCCAGCAGGTAGCACACCAGCGGGAGGAGGTGCTCCTTGGTTCTGGGTCCTGTTCCTGCACTTCACACACTTTGTTAGCAGTTACTGACAAGAGGCAGAATTTCAAACTCGGATCTTTTCCCTCCTAACTAAATTCAGGAACTGGAAGATAGGAGACATCTGGATGTCTGGCTGAGTCTCCTTGTAGTCCTTTTCTTCTCACTGAAACAGATGGGCTTCAACATAACTCTGGGTTAGCATGAGAAGCAGCATTTCCCTTTTTATTACCTTTTAGCAATCAATTTTTTTCTCATAGGTGTGTCTATCAAATAATTTTCTTTAACGTAGTAACTTTTTCTTCCCATAGCTTGCTTATTTCTGGTGGTAGATATTCTCCTCCTACAAGGTGAATTATAGTTGAAATAAATCTGTGGGAATGTAATTGAAGAAGTTAATCCCAATTTATTTTTTTTTTTACATCCAAGGAGCCCGATATTTGGTAGATATGGGCAAAAATACTAAATTGCTTCAAAATCTGTGTATCAACTTCTGGGGAAAAAAGTTGTTATCCATGTATGGAATGGGAGATATGAACCGTGGCTCACAAGATCAGCTTTTATAGTCAGAAGGCACAAGTCTACAAAATGCGTAGCTTGCTTTTGCTCTGATTTTGAGAGATGATTGGGATGCTTCGAAAATGTTCCTGTCTTTGCTCAAAATGCCTCTTAAAATACCGGCGTTTCTGGAGGAACAGACAGAACGTTCACGCCAGGGTGTCATTGCTCAGAGGAATAGCTGCGACTTCATGACATGCACAGTAGCTGAAAAATTAAGAGGGAGAAATCAAACAGAATGTTTCATTTTCATGTAGCTTTATGTGTTTCTCTTAAAACCCACTAGCAGTATGCTGCATCGATGATTAGGGATATTTCCAGTATTTTAATTGGCTATCCAGAAAAATCCTCAAGGATGTGTCACAAGTTTTAATGACCGTTCCTCAAAGCAGCTGATAATGGAGCCCATCCTCAGTGCTGCCAGAACATGCTGCCTTTCCAATACAAGATAGGTGTTTTTTTTAAAAAAAAAACAAAACACCAAAACAGTCTCCACTAAGGAAGAACATGACGGAGGTGGTTGTCTGGCTGAACTCTGTTGTCCCATTTTCACCTCTGCGCTGGACAAAGGATCAAAGGGCTCCTCCCAGGGCTGCCATCTCTATGGAGCCATCCAGCTTTGGTAAAGCAGAGCCTCCAGCAGCTGATCTCTGAGTAGGTGAGCCAGAGGATCAGAAATTCCAGCTCCCGCAGAGCCCACGTGAGAAGCAGGAAATTTTTGGCAAGTTCCAGTCTGATTGATCTGGCAATAGGGAACATAGAGCAGAACTGCAGTGCCTGTGTGACACCGAGACCAACCTTCTGCAGAAAATTCACGGCGCAGGAGGCAGAACTATTTCTTTTTTATGGTGCTGCTGTACCAGTGACATGCTGTAAAGGGAATAAGTGAGGAAGGTCAGTTGGATCCGTAGATTTTTACCACCGTGTGCCGAGAGTGAACGTTCTCCGTTTGCACACAGTGACATTCTCACACTTTACCTTTCAAGAAGTGTAAGAAACAGACTCTCGTGCAGATCTCTTGCTCGTCGTCCGTATGGTAAGGCATGTCTAGATTTGCCAAGTACCGTTTCCAGTGTATGACCTGACCTGGAAGAATGACCAACGTGTGGCTTTTCTTTCACAGTTAATTCAGTCCTGTAGGTAGGCTGCTATCTTTATTCTAAATTTACCTAATTCTCTATATTTATCGCTAATTCTTCTGTAATGTCACATAAAAAATTGTTTCAGACGTACATTTACGTCTGAGATAAATATGTCTACGTATATCTCAGGTATTTGAAGACTTTAAGAGCTTTCTGAAATACCTGATGGAAATATGTAATACTTGAAGCATTAATTTTTTAGTAGATTTTTTTTTCTCCTCTTGGGTGATGCTCTGCCTCATGATTTAGTGATGCAGTGATTTAAAGAGACGAGCAATGGGCACACTTTCAGAATCATTTTATCCGGTGCTGCTCACACATTCATTAGATTTATCGCATTTCTTAGCTCTGCGAACCTGGAGATTTTTTATTCTCTTCCACGCGTTGAATCAGTACCTTCTAATTCTCTAGACTTTCTGTCTATCGGAATAGTTTTTCTTTATTGCCATTATATATTTTTCAATTGTATTTTGATACTTTTAGAAAAGTGTCTAGGAAATAAATGGAGCTCATTCCAGTTCCTTTAATATATTAATCCAGGAATTTGTGGGAATCTTATGACTGGTATTTGTGTCAGTCGCTTACGCATTTTATCTTCATATCTCCACGACTCATGGAGGAATAATGTCCAATTTAGAGATGGAAAACCAAGATGCAGGTTAAATTACAGGGCTTGCCTGCAGTCATACAGGAAGCCTGTGGCTGAAATGACGTACTAAATGGAGATTGCCCAAGTTCCAGACCACATTCCATATATTACCCCTTCTCGTATCAGTCAGACTGGAGCTTCACGTTCTTCTCATTGATACCAAATTCTTCTGAACTTGGGAAGAGGGAAAACTACAGCGTTTTCCTGCGGAGGCTGCTGATGGATCTGAATTGCCTTTCCTGATGTGCTCAGTTCTGCTCTGCAGGCTTACCGTTTCTTATATGAATTTACAGAAGGTGGTCGCTTCAGAGAAAAGGTCCTTCATGGACTTCAGCATTTCTGGAGAGCGGATCAAGAAGAGCCATCGGTACAAGCTGCGGTTCTGCTGGTGCGGGTTTTCAAAATAGGGTTGTGAAATGTAGATGGTGGTTTTGGACTGTTCCTTCCTCTTTTCACTTTTTAATAAGTGTGAGCGCAGTGGTGTTTTTTCTCCAGCTGTTTTGAAAGGTAGGGATCTTACTTCTTATTTTGTTTATTTTCTCTCTCTGCTTTTGATACCCAGGAGAACATGTAACTTCAAGGTTTAAAAATGAGGTGGAACGGATGGGTTTTGATATGAACAATGCCTGGAGGATTTCCAACATCAATGAGAAGTACAAGTAAGTTACGTGGGCTGCTGATTCACAGCCAAGTGGCGTCTCAAAACACCAGTTTTTTTGTAACAGGTGACTGGAACTTTTTCCAAGTTCTGCAATTCCTAATAAGGGACAATTAGAATTATGATTTTTTTTTGTCATTTTATAGAAAAAATGTGCTTTGAAGGTATTATTTAATATTTTTTTAGCTGTAACAATTTTTGTAGGCTTAGAAATACCAGATTTTTATGTGCTTGCTGGGGGGACTTCTTGGGGAATAAACATTCTAATGGAAGAAAGCAGGAAGCCTTAAGAGAGCAAAGGGTAGAGTTGGATTGCACTTTCGGAAAACATTTTTTATTGTGTCTTATTCTCTGACTTAGGACAAAGACTGGTATGGAAAAAAACAGTTGGTTTGGAAGAGTTAAGCTTGTAGATCCTGAAAATAAGAGAAAACACTTCCTCTGGTCCTGAAAGCATAGACAAATGTCCTCGTCTGTAGCTGCTGGAGCAGAGAAAGGTCTTCCTCCATTCACGGCTGGTCGGACAGAGTGTACTGGCTGATCCCTAATCCAATTCAGAGCAAAGCCAGCAGTAATGCTCTGTAATAAAACATGTTTCATTGTGCTGTCTTTGCACGATAATGACTTGCAGCTGGTCATTGGTGTCACTGCAAGAAGAGTCTCTGTCTTGGTCTCTAAAAATCCAGGGAAGAAAAAATAGCTATCCCTTACATGTTTAATACTAAAGAAATAGGAAGAAAGCTTTATATGTCATATGGAAGCAGAATGACAGAAACAACTCCTTTCCTTCCTGCAGCCAGCACTTGAGAAAAGACTGTTTTTTTCAGAATGATTGATGCATTTTTCTGAATAAAACACTTAGACACGTGCTCAGGTCTGTCCTTCCTGTGCAGTAAATGCATCTCTTTGAGGAGATGGACTGGGGCCGAACTAGCTTATGATTCAGCGATATATTGCAGTCATCACTGACTGCTTGTGCCGTTCTCGTTGGCAGGCACGACTTCCTTAGTTAAATTGTGGAGTAGGAAAAAGTTCCAGTCAGCCAGTCAGATGTAAGCCAGTACACTCAGATTCCTGCCATCAGCGAGGGCTGATGAGCCAACGTGTTTTTTCATACCTACACAAGTTCCTGCCTTGAACCAAGTAGCCCAGGGTGGCTCTGCTGCTGAAATCGAGTGGTTAATTCTTTGGCATGGTGAGATGGGAATTTTATTTTCTGTGGTCCAGTTTGTTTCAACAGCTGGAGTTAAAAATCATGTATATATTAATTTCTCGAGAAGAGACCAGCTTGAATCTTAAAATTCTGAAGATTCAAGCAACACCTGCCAGGTTGCTTGTGCTGCTTATTTGTGGGTGCCTGGGAAGTGCGTAACTGCGCCGCATCGCTCACGTTCGGCCCTTTACAGGAAAGCTCTCGCAGGCTCTGTGGTAGTTACCCCCAGGAGATCATCGTTCCCGCCTGGATCACGGATAAAGAGCTCGAGAGCGTGGCAAGCTTTCGGTCCTGGAAGCGCATCCCTGCTGTTGTGTACAGGTGAGGCTCTTGCAGCTGGAACGGCTTTCAGCGGGCTGCGAACGGGGTGTTCTAGCAAATGAAAACTGGAATAAGTTGTAACTGGGAATCTTGACGTGTAATGAAAGGTGTTCAGGCCCCTGCGGGCCCCAGATGTCCCCTCGCTGCACCTGATGGACTTTAGGAAAAGAGTTAAAGGTATTTTAAAATAATATTTGTATAATTTATTCAAAGTAAGAAGAGTTCTGGCTTGCATCTTGCTATATTTTTGGATGTATAACATGATGCCACATGAAGGCCCAGGACCTGCCAGGGCAGAGTTGGAGAACTGGGAAGAGGCAACAAAACCTGGCAGAGTGCCCTGCGTGCTGCCCAGAGGAGTGGTACCCAGGCTGACCCCCTGGCACTCGCTCTGGGCTATGGTCCTGCGGTTCCACTCCAGAAGGATCCCAGAAGCAGTGTAAAGAACAGGACCCTTGAATAAAACACAACCCACCCGAAGGGTTTGGATATCAAACGAGGATGACAGGAGACCCCTCGCATGAGAAAACGTTCAGACCTGTATTTAACTGACAACAAAGTATGAGCTGTTGGGGTCTTTGTCTCTACATTTGCTATTTATATTTATTTATATTTTCGTTTTTATATTAAAAAAAACCCTGAGGTGACTGCCCTAGGAATGTCTTGCAGGAGATGCAGTGCTGAGTGCTCCTACAATATGTTTGGAGTTAAAAGATAGAAACCATTAACCCACCTTAGAGTAAAAGTCTGTCTGACCTCATTTATGACTTGACAAGGGCCAATACGTGCTGCTGTCTCACACACTCCAAGTTTTGAATGGGTATAAACCAATTGCAGCTTTCCAGTACTTAAAGGGGGCCTACAGGAAAGCTGGAGAGGGACTTTTTACAAGGGCATGTAGTGACAGGACACGGGGCAATGGCTTTAAACTGAAAGAGGGGAGATTTCGATTAGATCTAAGGAAGAAATTTTTCCCTCTGGGGGTGGTGAGGCACTGGCACAGGTTGCCCGGAGAAGCTGTGGCTGCCCCATCTCTGGCAGTGTTCAAGGCCAGGCTGGATGAGGCTTTGGGCAACCTGGTGTAGTGGAAGGGGTCCCTGCCCGTGGCAGGGGGGTTGGAACTGGATGGTCTTGAAGGTCCCTCCCAACCCAAACCATTCTGTGACTCTGTGATCCTGTGAAGACATCAGCACAGCTGAAGAAATAATAAATGACATCTCTGGCTCAGTATTCCTTTGGCTTTTCTCTAATTCTCACCTAATACTCATACTGCACTATAAACAAGGACAAGTCCCAGAATTATTCAAGGGAGATACAAAACTCAAATTACAAGAGAATGTGTGTGTTAGCCTCATCTACATATTTTAGATAGTTTTAATCAGTCTCTTCCTTAGATTGAGTCCAGCAATTCTTCATAACAAAACTGCTTTTCTGAGATACTGGCTTTTGGCAGCTTCTTTAGTAAGAAATAGATTTCAGCATCTGGGCTTTTTTTCGTTTGGTTTTGTGTTTTTTTTTCCAAATACTCTGGAACCCATCATTTAATACCTTGGCTGCTTTTCTGGTGTAGTTACCTTCCCATAAATGTTTAAAATCTCTTGAAAACAATCAGGTGACAAAGGGATTAAAAAGATAATGAATACTGATAATTCCATCAAGTCTGCCCAGCCACCCATTCCTTTTAAACAGACCGAAAGGAAAAGCTGTTCCATGAGCCCAAGCGAAATTCAGAGATCAGTAAAGTTGACAAATTCCTATGGCCTGGGGCGGAGGAGCAAGTGTACAAGAGCTAAGAGTAGGCCACGAAACATTATTTACCTCGCTTGAGAGTTCTCCTTCTGTGAAAGGAGAACAGATTAGCTTGGGGCAGCAGACCAGTATCTTTAAATCCCCCTATTTTTTCTGCTTTTTCTTCCAAACGACGGGGTCAGCATGTTAAGGAATTGCTCCATCCTCAGTTGAGCTCTGTAAGGGGGAAAGAAATGCTTTCCAGCGTATGTTAAACTTTTAAGACTTAAGGTTCCATGTAAGTATGTGTATTATATATATGTCTAAAAGAAAATAACTTGTAACTTATGTATGGTTTTGTGCTCAACTTGGACATTTCAGGCCACTTTGTGCCTTTTAGGCAGTTGTCACATCATTAGGGGACACTCCCCTGCAAGCACACTGAGCAGGGGGAAGCAACCCCCCCCTCCCCTTTCATCACTGCACAGGAGAAAGAAATCACTTTCTTTGCCTTCTCGGGTACAGCTTGCATTCCCGGGGGATTTATTGGAGAGCGATTTAAATGTTCAAAAAAACCTCAGACTGAAATTGTTTAATCCCTGCCGTTCAATTTTCTGCAGTTCCGATGGGACTAAGTATGTTAAATTACCACATAGTGTTTCATTTGTAGTCTTAAAATCAGTGGAAGAAAAGTTTCTCTTTTTTGATTTCTTTTTTCCTTATCTTGGCATTTAGTAATAGATTTTGCAAGACATCCACTTCATCATTCTGCACTCTAATGGAGCTCACGTCAGGGAGTGGTTGATGATCCATATGATTGGAAATCCACGTATAGTTTTCTCTCTCTATGTTACCATAAAAATAGCTTTTTTTCTGACTTTTGGGGAAGTGAGGGACAAAAGCTCGTTCATTTTTTTATCTGTTGAAGATGATTTTGGGATTATTCATTTCATTATTGATCACATTTTTTAAATCTGTTTTTTGCTTCAGGGAAAAAAAAGTAATGTTTTTTTTCAAAAAATCGTCCAGTAACTTGTCTTGGATGCTTCTCTGGACACTGGGACAGGGAGAGACCAGAGACACAGGCACTTGGCAACTGTTCTGGGTTTGTGTGGCAGGGTTTTGGTAGCAGGGAGGGCTACAGGGCTGGCTTCTATGAGAATCTGCTAGAAGCTTCCGCTTTGTCCGATAGAGCCGACGTCAGCCAGCTCCAAGACGGACCCACCGAGCGAAGGCTGAGCCCGTCAGCGATAGTGGTAGCGCCTCTGGGATAACATAGTTAAGAAGGGGGGAAAAAAAAACTGCTCTGGAAACAGCAGCAGAGAGGAGTGAGAATATGTGAGAGAAACAACTCTGCAGACACCAAGGTTGGTGGAGGAGGAGGTGTGCTGGAGCTGAGATTCCCCTGCAGCCCGTGATGAGGTGACAGGCTGTCTTGCTGCAGCCCGTGGAGGTCATGGTGGAGAAGAGGTCCACCTGCATCCTGTGGAGGACCCCACACCAGAGCAGATGCTGTGCCCAGAGAAGGGTGGGACTCTGTGGGAAGCTTGTGCTGGAGCAGGCTTCAGCCTGCTATGGACCCATGGAGAGAGAAGCCCATGCCGGCAGGACTTGTGACCCCATGGAGGAGCCATGCTGGAGCAGTTTGTGAAGAGCTGCAGCGCGTGGGAAGGAGTCATGTTGGAGAAGTTTGTGGAGAACTGTCTCCTGTGGGAAGGGGCCCCGTGCTGAAGCAGAGGAAGAGTGTGAGGAGTCCTCCTCACCTTGAGGAGGAAGGAGCAGCACAAATGGCATGCGATGAACTGACTGCAACCCTGATTCCTCGTCGCTCTGCGCTGCTGTGGAGAGGAGGTAGAGAAATTGGGAGCACAGTTGAGCCCAGGAAGAGTTAGGGTGGGGGGAACGTGGTTTTTAAGATTTGGTTTTATGTCTCATTGTCCTAGTCTGCTGTTATTGGTAATAAATTAAACGGATTTTTCCCCAAGTCAAGTGTATTTTGCCCACGGCGGTAATTGCTGAGGGATCTCTCTGTGTCCTTGTCTCGACCCCTAGTGTATTATGTCCACGGCGGTAATTGCCGAGGGATCTCTCTGTGTCCTTGTCTCGACCCACAAGCTTTTCCTTTTATTTCCTCTCCCCTGTCCAGCTGAGGAGGGGAGCGATAGAGCGGCTTCGGTGGGCACCGGGCGTCCAGCCAGCGTCAGCCCACCCCAGCAACAGAAAATTCCTCGTCTGTTCTTGTAAAGCGTTCGAGCGCGGTGGCAGGACGCGCAGGCTGAAGAGCTGAGCGGGCTGAATTCGGAAGCAAACTCCAGAACCAGGCGGTTGGGATCGGATTGTCAGGAGTGTTGCTGCTATTTCGTGATCCGATTTCTAGAAGGATCTCACACCCAGCTTCTGCAGTTTGTGTCTGCAGTTCCTGAAACCCAGGCATGTATTTAGGTACATCAGTCTGGCCTGGAACGCGGTTTTTGTAGCTTCTCCGGTTTGGTCCCAGAAAATCAATGTGAGCAAGAAGCCTTTTTGGATTTTGAGGAAAGACTATAGAGGGAACTTCATACATTATCAGAACAGTGCCCTGAACTCGTGAGAACCTGCTCGGAAACTAGCCGTGTTGAAGGTGTCTCTTTGTCTCGCCCGCTGCCGGCGTTTCTGCCGGCGCAGGAAGCCGAGGTGAACACAAAATTGCCCTGTTCCCTGCTTGCTGAATTGTATTTGTGAATTGCAGCAATGATTTTTTATTTATTTTTTTCAGTTGCAAGCGCTAGTAGCTACGTAATGCTGTGGAGGGAGCTACTCAAACCTTCGTTACTCCTCGCTGTCTTTGTACTTAGAAGGACTCGGTGGATTTATTGTGGTGCTCAGAAGGTTGCTGGAGCCCATGCAGAGGTGTGGGAGGCTGCATGTTGCTTTGTCTCCAGAGGGTTAGGAAATTGCAGTGGAGGGTTTGCTTAAATATTTTTTAATCTTTTATTTTTTTGGTTCCTGAGTGACACCATCTTATCCCCAGCTCTGTCTCTGGGGACCTCGGAATCACACTGAAACTATTTGCTGGTTTTTGTTCCTGTGGCCAGTCTGGTTGGAACGAGCCTGATTGCTCAGACCTCCAACACAACCATAAATAGAATTGTTTGCTGGTTTCTGCTGGTACATCTGAACGTGACGTGTTCGTGCAGGCTCGGGAGCGTTGGGGCGTCACAGCTACTGATGAACTCGACTTTTGGCCTAATGGTTCTTTATTATCTGTGGTGTGAATGAGAGGCAAGAACCTGGCGATGAAAATATAACTGTTCATGAATGTATGAAAGCGATTCCGCAAGCAGGTAGTAATGAAATCTGGAAGAACATGTGGAAAAATAAATGAGTTTATATCTCAATGTTCAAAATAGATTTCTTACACATATAATGATGTTTTATTTTCTTTTGTTATTTGTGCAAGTGCACCAGGGAACTAGCTGCCCTTTCAGTGATTGGCACGTAGTTTTTGCTGAACTAATTTAATATCAGTAGAGCTGTTTCCAGAAGGCTCTTCATTTCAGCAGAAAATACGTTTTCCTTCGCATGCCTTTGTCTGGCACCTGGTGCAAGTGCCGTAGCATTCCAATTGCTTTTCCTTCGGTTCCGTTAACGCAGTGTGTCCGTTGCTTCCTCTCAGCAAAGGAATTTTATATGAAACAATTATGAAACACCTATGAAAAATACTTAAAACACTGTATCACAACCAATTTTAAAGCTTTTTGCCCCAGGAAGCCTTAACCCGCTGCCAGTGTTGCTTTGGAATGAGCGGCACGAGGCAGCGGCTGCGGCTGCCGCCTGCTGCTGTGCCCCGCGGTGACGCTGCGGAGGTGGTGCTGCTCAGCACCTCTGACAATTATAAACCAGCTTGTCACACCTCCAGAAACGTTTATTGGAGAGGGGAAAAAAATTAAGGTTTATAGGTCAGGGTGGGGCTTTCTTTCTGTCCAAGTTGACTGAATTTCCTTAAAGATTCAGCGAACCCTCACAGTTCTGTGCAGCTGCTTTATTACAGGGGATTCACAGAACCATCAAATGGTTTGGGTTGGAAGGGACCTCAAAGACCATCCAGTTCCAACCCCCTGCCATGGGCAGGGACACCTTCCACTACAGCAGGTTGCTCAAAGCCTCATCCAACCTGGCCTTGAACACTTCCAGGGATGGGGCAGCCACAACTTCTCTGGGCAACCTGAACTGAACGACTCTTGGTTGACATGCAGCTGAGATGGCCGGTTTGTTTGCAGGAGGACTCTAAAATCCTTCCATGTAGGAGCTGTATTGGCATGTGCGTACTTCATAAACACGGCGTTCTGGTGGGACTCCTAAACTGAAGTAGAGAAGAACAGCGTGTGGATAAGCGGCAGGATATTTCAGATGGGACGTGAGGCAGGGAGTGAGCGTTTCTAGGTGTCCCATTCCTCAGTGTGTGGCCAGAGAGAAGTTGTGTCTCTTGTCTGCTTGGGCCACTCCACCAGCAGCGCTGTGTACCGACGGCTGGGCTTCCGTTCCTGCCGCGGCTGAGCTCTGCCGAATTCCAGGTGCTGCTAGTGAAGGTCACGGAGAACATCCTTAATGCCAGATGTAAACACTTCAGTGAAGGGGGAATTACATTTCTGTTGGCAGCAGTGGGATGTGCCAGCGTGGAGGCAGTAGGTGAAATTGCAGAGGTAATCTGTTCCAGTACTTTTTTTGTAATGGATTATAGGGAAGAGTTTTTAAGTCTTTTCCAGAGTACGTTTGCAATGGTTGGATACGTTTTAGTTATTTCAAATCTGTTCTTTATGTGTAGTACAAGAGGTTAGGTCACATTTAAGAAAATAATTAATAATTCTTCAGACGTTTAAAAATAAAAAAAATTTATATTTTTTCCCAATGTCACTCCCCAGAAAAAGATCGCTACATTCAAGTTAGATCACTCTTCAGTTATCTCCCTGACATATTTTTTTATTGACAGACCCATTTCTGGCCTCCATTTGCCAGTTCTCTGAAGTTTATCAGTATACAGAGTGCTTGCAATTTATATCACATTTTAGAAGAAAAGTATATTAATAAACAACATTTCCTTTTCCAGTGCTACTTAGGTGTCTGTGGCAAAACTTTCTTGTGGACCATACTGGTGCTTACGTGTAAGAGCTGCTGTTGCTCTTCGTCAGCTCCTTGGTCTGCTAGAGAGGATCGGTGCTGGAGAGGCACCAGATGAAACGTTACCCAGAGAGGGTCAGGGAGAGGGATGGAGAAGACCCACACACAGAGGAGAAGCAACTGAAAAGGGGATGGCAGAGCCCTTCCTTTCCAACAGATGCTAATGCCAGACTTCAGGAGCTAAACGGCAGATGTTTAGTGTCCTGAGATGCGAAAGGCTCTCTCCCTTCCAGTGGAACACCACCTCGAACACATGGGCTTCCAGCTGTGGTTCTGCAGCGCTCAGGGACCACCTCCCCTGATCCATGGGTGCTGCCTAGAAACGGGTACCATCAGTGTGCAAGAGTGAGGGTTTGGGTGGCTGTTAGACATCGTCAGACAGAAGGCGTGCCAAATTCTGCCAGTATTTCCTACCAAAATTGGAATGTTCTTCAGATTTAATTAGTGGTATGTTGTGATTTTAAAAAATCTCATCAAAAAGTGAGTCTGTGGTTTTACTCCTGCCTTCTAGCTTTGAGATTAACATGAGTTAAACTGAACTTTCCGACTTACTCTGGTATTCCTGCGGTAGACCTGACTATCCAGCAGGCATTGAATACCTCTTTAATGCCTCATCTGCTCTTCCAAAATGTTCCCCAGCTTTCGCTGGCCAATAGGCAACAATATTGAGTCAGAAAATGCTTTGGCTTCTCTTACTGACCTCGGCTTTGACTTTTACCTGTCAGCGACTGTGTGGTCCCAGCCAGCATTTTGAAGGGAAGCAGTGGAATTCGTTGCCACTGAATCCCAGGTTGAGGATAACTGCTGAACGATGGAGAGGTCCCCGACAGGAATTAAACTACCGGAGTGCACCATTTAATTTTTCATGCCCTCTGTGTTTTTCATCCCGATTCATCAAGTTATGCACTGCTGTTCTTTTTATTCTTCTCTTTTTCAGGCACCAGAGCAATGGAGCAGTGATTTCCCGCTGCGGGCAGCCCGAGGTCAGTTGGTGGGGCTGGAGGAATGCGGACGATGAACACCTTGTCCAGTCTGTAGCCAAAGCCTGTGCCTCCGATTCGAGGTCCAACAGTAACAAATTAATGAATGGCAATTGTTCCAGAGATTTCTCCAATGGAGGGGACCTCTCTGATGTGGAATTTGGTAAGTTTGTCATGTTCCTTTTCTGTAAAGGGCAGAGCTTTATATAGAAGCTTAACCTCTTATATGGAGTGTAAGGGATTAAATCCTTTGTATTTAATCAGGCTCTCTCCAGTTTCTGTATGTGCAGTGCGTATGCGTTGTGTGACGTGAGTGAATCGTTGTTGTAAACAGTGCCAGAAGCATCCTTTTCGTTACTCATCCGCTGCGTATCCTCTTCCCCAGATTCCTCCATCTCTAACGCTTCCGGAGCAGAGAGTTTGGCAATACAGCCCCAGAAGCTTTTGATCTTAGACGCACGATCCTACGCAGCGGCTGTGGCCAACAGAGCCAAAGGAGGGGGCTGTGAGTGCCCAGGTAGGCAGTGTTTCTCCTCGGTTTTCTGTGAAGTTCCTCAAAAGGATTTGCTCAAATCTAATTACGCTGGTATGCTTCAGTGCCGCGTGTTTCCCAGACTGCGTGGATGCCAGTACTGTTCATCTGTAGGAAAGTTCTGGATCGTTGCAGCTGTCACACAGCCCTTCAAAAGGACGGGTTTAGCTGTTAATTAAGTCTGTTTCTCAGAGCACAAAACCAACTGGTAACAGTGTTCAGTAAATGCTGAACTGTGTGGAACACGCTGATTAGCTTCCCCTGCTGAGTCAAATATCGAAACTAGAGCGAGACAAAGGTGTCCAGTGTGCTAATGTCGCAAAAAACCCTCAACAAACTTGTAAAAAGCCACCAACTGTAGAGAAGAATAATATTCTAGAATGGTTGTGCAGAACACAACTTTTCAGCCATTTTTCTAGCGTCGAAACGTTGTTCAGCCTTTATATCGTACCCCAAAGCAGCTGAAGTCCTGACCCATCGTGCATTTGTAAAACATTTGTAATACATTTGCACTTATCGCTTCCTGTGTTCTTTGGCACTTGCAAATTGTTGGTATTATAAACAAGATACTATTTTATGGTCACTATTGGCTATGAATGCAGCCTGTTAAAATTCCATGGGTGGAGAGTCTAGGACAAAATACCAAACAAAAACTGTAGATAAGATAACAAAAGCTATTTTGACCGTATTTTTGTTTTGGTCTTTGTTGCAATAACTGCACTTTGATATGTAGCCACCAGTATGACAAGACGAATTTTTCATTTAACACCTCAAAACTACTAAATAACTCATCATTAGAGAGAAAAATTTCAAAACAGAAAAGCAGAGTATACAGGAAGTTTAATTTTCTTCCTATATATTGCTTCTTGAATTCTTTGTAGAAGATTTCCAAACAGCTCGTCACCTTCAATAAATTTGACCTGCATTAAGTGCTTCCTCTTAATGAACTGATGAGTTTTCTTTAGGTATTGCCAAGTTTACTTCATTCTCTCTGTATAAAAATATCTCATTTATGTTGTGCTTTATTTTATATATAACATAATTCAGTAAAAAGATGAAAAAAAAGCTTAAATTGTCTGAAACTGTCAGTCACTTCAGATTGGAGGTATGTAGTCCATCACTAACAGGATGCTCTGGTTTTGGCCAGAATTTGTTGGACTGATAAACAGTTAAGAAATCAAATTATATAAAACATACTCTTTCAAAGAGACTACAGCATTTTCTTGGCAAGCACTCGGTATCCCATATTCTGAATCCTGATGAATTTATTTTTTTTCTCCTGTAGAAAGGGTGGTTTTAGCTATCATAGCATCACTTCTGTGCTGACAGAAGCATCAGGACAGAGGAAAACTAAACCTAGGAAAGACTATTGAATCAGTAGGAATATATAACTTAAATTTGGTAAACTAATGTATATTTTTATGTAAGAACCATCCATAAATTATGGGTTAAATATTGTTTGTGCTTCGCGGTGTCTTACGATGTTTCTCAGTCTTTTTAAAAACATTCTGTAACCTTGAGCACAGCAATATCACTATCCCGTAGGTTTTTACTCTGCTTTTTGCAATGTGAAGTGAAACATTGAAAATAAATACACAAACACTTTGCTAACCCTTTCCTGTTTTGCTCTGCTGTGGAGTAATGTCTGGAATACCTACCGAACTCCCAAGTACTGGTTTCTCCTTACAGGAGAATCGTAAACAGATTATTTCATCTGTCCGCAGCGGCAGTGGTTTGTTTTTTATGAAAAAGCTTCTTTTAGAAATGAAACTTCATGTAGTTTTTAGTTTCTTCCCTCTTTCTCGATATTT